GAATCGCAGACTTCCCGCCTCCACCTTACGGGCGAGGATGGGGAGGCTGGGTGACGTCGGGACTTGCTGGAGGTCACCTGCTCACCAGTGGCAGTGTTAGGACTGGGACCCACCCTTGGGCCCCCAAATGCCTGAGATGGGGGTTACTGTTGAACCTTCCCAGCGACTGGAGGATCCAGACTTCTCTTGTCTGCAGGTGCCCCCGCCCCTAACCCGAGCAGACTGCAAAGGAACAGAGGTGGCCCCAGGCGGGCACCCTCCTCGCCGGCCCGAGCCCAGCCTTGCTGCGGGCCCTCCCTGCATCCCCAGGGGGCAGGGTTTGGGCCTCGCCGGGAGCAGGCACAGTTGAGGAACACACTTGAGGACAGGGCCTCCAGCCAAGTCCGGCCACTGTTTGTCTGCTGGCTGTCCTTCCCGGCTTGGCCTGCTACAGAGGACCCTGGGCCCGGGAGCCCTGCCGCCAGGCTCCACGTCCTTAGGAAAAAGGGCTTCTCTGCGTCTGGGGTAAAGCCTGACCTCCGAGATGCTCGGCTTCAGCACCTTCTCCGTTTGGGTCTCTGTGCTTGTTGAGCCCACTCTGGGGCCTTGGTTTTCACCCCAGGAGCAGGAACGTGCTTCTCGGGGGTGGCGTTGGTTCCTCAACTGACAATAAATCTAGGGTGCTGCCACAGGCGAGCCGGGCCGGGCACTGAAGCGGGGACTGCAGAGGAGGGGAGGCAACTCTTGTTCACCTGCACGCCCCAGGCCGGCACGGTGCTGGGCACACCGGGCTCGGACACACCTCACTACTCGAATGACTGAAAACCCAGCCGGAACTGCCGAAGGTGTGGGCACTAACTGCAAAGTGACTCATTACAAGGAATGCTCCGGAGGGCGAGGACCCTGTCTGTCTGGTTTGCTGCTGTGTCCTGTGCCCACACAGGCTTCCTGGGGGAGGTGGCAGGCGGGATCAGTATGAGTCCAACAGCCAGAGAGCACAGACATGGCACCCACACGTGGGTGCGCAGGCCCAGATGGCGGCTGAATGGTGTTGTGGCAACGCAGCCTGCTTGGGGCCTGGGGAGGAGGGCGCCGTGACAGGGTGAGCAGGCCGGGGGGAGGCTGCAGCAGGACTGTGAAGGCCAAGAACGTTCTGGTGAGGAACGTGGGCCTGATTGTTCCTGAGCAGAGGATGTGGCCTGTCTGCTTGTCACAGTAACCCTAGCTTTGCTGGGGGAGATTTGGGGACGGGCCAAAGCTTCCCTCTCTGGCCTGCACACGAGCAGCGTGGGGCTCTCGTGAGCGGCGCTGTGCCCGGCCACTCCCAGACCCTTCACAGCTCCTGTCCTGGTGGGCCATGCATGCTCAGACCCTTGGACCCCTGCATCTTTTGTATGCTAATGAGATGACTGATGGCTGGGGACCCAGAACCACCAAGGCACGATTAGAGGGTGGAACGTGCAGCCACAGATGCTGGCCTCCAGGGAGGCGACTGTGTTAATCACCAAGGCCAGTGATTGTATCAGTTGTATGCAATGGAACCCCCTAAACGACAGGCTTGGGAGAGCGCCTGGCTTGGTAGACGCCCTGAGCCCCTCCCCCACGCCTCGCCCTGTGCGTCTCTTCCACCTGGCTGTTCCCAAGTCGTGTCCTTTATAATAAACAGGTCATCAAGTAAGTAAAGTGGCTTCCTGGGTTCTGTGAGCCATTCTAGCAAATTGTCAGACGTGAGGAGTCGGAGAAGCCCTGTTCACAGCCGGTCAGTCAGAGGTGCGGGAGGCCCAGGATGTGTGACCGGCCCTTGAAGGAGGGTGGCCTGTGGGACTGAGCCCTCCACCCGTAGGGCGCACCAGCTCTGAGCAGTTCGTGTCAGAAGGGAGTTGAACTGCAGGACATCCGCCGGTGTCAGGAAAACCCACACATTTGGTGTCAGAAGTGTCAGGAGTAGAAACAGTTCATACAGCCCGAGTCTTGCTTAGAGGGAAACGCGTGCGTCAAACAGAGAAGGAAGTGGAATGTAAACACAGAAACCGGTGTGGCCGCCATGGGAACAGTGAGGCAGCTCCTCAGACCTTACGCCTGGGGTCACCGTGAGGCCCAGCAACGCCCCTTGTGGGTGTGCCCCCAGAAGGGCTGACAGCAGAGGCGCGGAGAGACACGTGCACACCCGTGTTCACAGCAGCATCGCTCACGACAGCCATGGGTGGAAGCCACCCAAGTGTCCACTGGCAGAGGAGTGGATAAACAAAAGCCGGTCCATCCACACATCAGAATATTATTCAGCCTCAGGCAGGAGATCCTGACCCTGCTGCCACATGGTGAACCTGGGGGACATGACGCCGAGTGAAGCCAGACACAGAAGGAGGGACGCTGTGTGATTCCACCCACACACGGTCCCTAGAGGGGTCACACTCATGGAGACGGGAAGTGGGACAGTGGGCGCCAGGGCTGGAGGAGAGGGACGGGGGACAGAGTCTCAGTTTGGGAAGATGAAAAGGTTCTGGAGGTGGACGGTGGTGACGGTTGCAGGACAATGCGAATGTCCTTAATGCCACCAAGCCGTACTTGGAGATGTTTAAAATGGTTGATTTATGTTATGGGTATTTTACCACAATTTAAAAAGTGAAAAAAGTATTTTTAAAAAGGTGGAAAATCAATGAGCTAAGCACACATCTCAAAGAACTGGACGAGCAAACCCCAAAGGTGTTAAAAGCAAGGAAATAACAAATACACAAACTAGCGAAATAGAAGATAAAAATGTCTGAAGAGGACCAATAAACGACCAGAATCAGAAAAAAACGGGGGGATGTCACTCAGGGAGACCGGGTCACCCCTGAGTGGCCCAGGACTTCCTCGGATTTAGCTCTGAGAGTCTTGAGTCCTGGGAAGCCCCTGTGTGAAGCCCCCCAGCAAACAGTGACAGCTGGTCACCCTACTGAAGACCCTGTAGACGTTAAGCAGGCGGTAAGAAGATATTCTGAACACTTTTGCCAGTAAAGTTGAAAATTTAGATATAATGGACAAATTCCTAGAAAAATACTGTTAATCAAGTCTCAACCCCAAAGAAATAGAGTCTGGACGTCCCGCAGCTGTTAACGTGCCTGAGTCCAGCATCCGGACTCTTCCCCACCCAGGACCCTGTGCACGGGCCGCCCTCCGTCTGCTCTGGGTGTGGACCCTCAGAGACTCTAGCAAGGTCAGGGCCCCTCCCCGTGAGGCAGTCACAAGTACGTCCCCCATTTCGTGTGTGATTTCAGGGGTCCTTGCACCCCCAACCCCAAATCACCGCAGGGACAGAGGTGAAGGGCCTGTTTCCAAACCTCCCTGTTACCTCAACTCTCCCTCTGGGGGGTGGCATTCTGGGATGCTGTGCACAGGTTGCTGGGGAGTGGGGGAGCAGAAGAGGGGACAGCAGTTGTGGCCGCAGGGAGAGGGATGTCAGGGGAGGCTTCTCCAGGTGCGTGGAGCATGCTCAGTGTCTGGAGCCTCCACTCCTGGTCATGCGGGAGGCTCCCCACCCTCAAGGCCCCCAGTTTCCCGTCTGTAGCTGGAGGGCGCCCACAGCCTTGCTGCCTAGTCTGGATGGCCTATCTGGGCATCACGTGGCGCCTGCCTGCTGCCTGTGCACGCGGCTGTAATTGCACTGAGATCTCAATCACTGCAGCGCAAGTGACAGGTATTGGCTGGGCAGGCAGAGCAGGCCTCGCCAGGGCTCTGTGCTGCTGTCAGGTGACGTGTCCCAGAGACAGTGGGAACTTGGGGGCAGGCAGAGGCATCTCTCAGCCGTGTTTGCCAAGCACCCATGCCCAGAGCTGGGTGTCAGCCTCAGCCTGGGTTTCTCCCTCAAACCAGCCAGTAGCTACAAGCGACTTGCTTCAACCCTCAAGCCTCAGTTTCCCCAAACCAAAGGGGATGATGAAGCTCTCCCAGGGCCAACGCGAGGGTCCAGTGGGGTGTGCAGCTGGAAGTGCCTTGTAAACTGTAGTGTGCCAGCCCTCCCTCCCCATCCGTCTTCCCCAGCCCAGCTCTTGGAACCAGAGCTGGACAGAGAGCTGGCTGAACTCCAGGTGAGCACCCCAGGGGCACCCCTTTTGTCCTGCTGTGTCACCTGCCGCATCACGTCTGTCCTTGCGTGAGCGTGTGTGTGCATGTGGACACGACAACTCTACCGTGTTACCGAGTTGCCTGGCACCAACTGTGGGCAATTGCTCTCTCAGGCTACTCGCACTGTTTATGCAGGGCTGTGTCAACCCCTACGGCATAGTTTCGAGGTTCCAGGAGCTGGGTTAATAAACAACTGAGCTGGTCCGTCTCAGGTTCACCAGGATCCCAGAGGAATCAGACAGAGGTGGGACTCCCTGGCTGTGGTGGCCGGAGCCAGGTGACGCCGTGCAGGGGCAGGCAGGGTGTGTGAGGGCTCAGGGGTGGGGTCGTGGGATTGGGCAGTGGCTGGTACTGGGCAGTAGACATGGAGGGGAGAGGGACATCGGGATAATTCCCGGTCATTGTCGTTGTTGCTGTTATGGAGGTGGCTGCTAAGAAGACACACAGGACCAGAGTTTCTGGAACTGGCAGAACAGATAGTGGGGATAAGCCTCCCCATAGCGGGCAGTGATGGTAGCACCTCTCTAGGGAAGCCCCGCCGGCCCCCACGCCTCGCCACAAAGGGAGTGGTGAATGAGCGTCACCGGAGGGTGGTCTGTCCCTCCCGCCCACAGCGTGCAGGCTGCGTGCCCGAGGCCCTGGGAGAGGCTGACCGCCGAGCTCATGCAACAGGAGCAGCAGGCTGGGCCCTGCATCTGGTCCTTCCCAGGCTCTCGTCTGAGGCCAGGTGGCCCTCGTGCATGCACAAGCGTGCGTGCGTGCAAGTGCCCAAGTGTGTGCGAATGCACGCTGTGCCGCACACGGGGGACTGTGGAACATGCTCCTGGAAGCTGCCTCCTCTCTGGGCAGCATCCCTCCCAGAGTGCCCTCGGGACCTCCTCTCGGGAAGGCGCAGGGAGGGCGGCCACCCCACTGACCTGGATCACGGTGTCCAGCCCCAACTGGGGCTGCTCGGCGTCGGTTCTGTCGCCAGGTTCACTGGAAGCAGAGCTCATGGTGGGCCCAAGCACTGGACCCTGGAGAGAGCTGGCGCTTGGCTTCCAGGAGAGTCTCCTCCTCGGACCCTGGCCCGGCTAGGACCTCTCTCAGTGTGCTGGCCCACACCTGGGTGGTGACTGAGTCCTCCAGAGCCTGCGTGCCCAGACTGCGTGGCCAACGGAGCCCATGGCGTTGCTGTGGCAACCGCGACGCTGAGGGCTGTGTTTCCCTGGAAACAGGAGTGCAGGCCCTGTTGCTGCAGAGAGTAAGGAATGCTGTTGCTGGACGCATTTCTCCTGAGACCTGGGGACGCCCTGGGTGAAGCCGTCCACCTGAGCGGCGACACCTGGGGAGGGGCTGGCCTCACTCCAGCAGGAGCCACGCCTTGCTGGCCGACACCAGGCAGGGGCAGCACGCAGGCCACTGTTCCCCTTGACCGCCCGTCATAAACGATGACTTTTTAAAAAGCATTTTTCAAAGAACTTAGAGATCAACGTGTGATGGTGCGTCACAGACGGTCGACTGAGGCCTGGAGAGGGCAGCCACCGGCCCTGGGAGCAGCAGTGACGCCCTGCACCGTCTTCCTGACTGTGCACGTGGGCGAGCCCTTCTGGATCCCCCAGGCGATGCGTCTCCTCTTGCGAGTGAGGTTGCATCCCCCTCTCAGCGGAACCATGACGGGAACAGGCCCTGCTCAGCCTGGGCGGGGAGGGTCCACCGAGCAGACCCAGAGCCTGGCACCCAGCCGCAGTCCGCACTCTGCTTCTCCCTGAGCCAGGCTGGGGCTGGCAGCCTCTGCAGGTGGCTCCTCACCCCTCTTCCAAGAGAGGAAGTCCTGTTCAGGGGGCTCTCAGGATGGGCTGCACCCCCAAGTCTCTCAGGAGACTGGGAGGAGGCCTGCTGGGCAAGTCCAGGAGGGACCTGGCAGTGAAGGGGGACACTTAACATATCAGCATGTCTGTCCCCAGTGCAACCCAGGGAGGGCCTGATAGGACCCAGGCTGCCTCCTCAAAATCGAAGCTCCCCGGAGAGACGCCTGAGCTCTGCTTTCTTGGGGTCCCAGGGCCCCTGTGCACCCCCACCCAGGAGACAACCGCTAGGATGTCCCCTGCGGGGACAGGTAGGCTCTCTGGCTGGACATAGCGCCCCTGGACATCTGGGGCTGGGGTTCACTGAACAGTTCCTGGGGGGACGGAGGCTTGGTCTGTCCCTCTGACCCTGGGGCCTGTGAGCCAGCAGTGATCTCTGGCTGCATGTTCAGATGCTGGGGGCCCCTGCCAAGCCTGGGCACCTCCCTGGGCAACCTCCAGGCATTCCCAGCACCCAAAGCTGCCTAAAGCCCCTCCTGGAGTCCTGGGACCCATTGTGGAATGAAGGATCCGGCCAGGGGGCCTCAGCCTCAGGCTGAGCCCCCATGAGCTTGGGGCGGGCAGGGTCAGCACTTCCTGCTGGGCCTCCACTAAACTCTAGTTGGGGGCCCTTGGATGAGAGTTCCTGGAGGGTGGATGGGGAGTGCGGGAGCTCGCTGGAGCCCTTGGGTGCTGGGTTGACGTGAGGGGATGCAGAGGTTGGTGTGACCGTCCACGAAGGCCTCTCGGATGAGTCGAAACCAGACCTCACTCTCCAGGAACAATCCTGACGCAGACGTCCATGCTTGGGGTGACCTGGGGGCCTGAGTGTGGGGGAGGGGGCAGGAGTGGGGTCCCTGCATGGGCCCTCCAAAGGGCCAGGGGCTCTGATTTGAGTTTTAGAAAGCTCCGTCTGGCTGCTGAGTTGCCCTGGGGGCAAGGTCGAAGGCAGAGGTGGTGCGTCCAGGGTCCAGGCAGGTGTCGCCGCTGGCATCAGCCCCACCTGGGCTGGCAGTGGTGGGCGTGTCCAGCCAGCCCAGCCTCCCCCTGCCTGTGGCAGCCCCAAGCCCACGGACTTCCCAGACACCCTCAGCCTCGCCTTCCGCAGGCAGTGGAGGAGTTTGCCCAGCTAAGAGGGGTGTCCTGCGAGGGTCCTGGTGAACTAGGAAGTCTGGTCCCTGTGGCGGGGCCCTCCCGCCTCCTCCCACGCAGGCCCCCCTATCTCCTTTGTGCTCAGTCCTTGGCCTGTTCTCCTCCATTGGTTTGTCTGAACACACACGGACGCCGCTGCTCCCCCTGCCCCCATAGCCCTGCAGAGAAGCCCAGCACGTGCCGGCCTTTGTCCGCAGAGCCCTCCTCCAGGACGTCCTCCGCAGACACGGAGCGCTGGCCCGGCCCCCAGCACACCACCCGGGGCCTCGCTGCGTGGCATCCGAGTGCCTGGCTTCAGGTCCAGGGCTGCCGATGGATGGGAGAGCCCCCGGGGAATGTGCTGGCGTGAGTGGAGAGGGTGACAGTGTGACGGAGGTCCTCGCCCGGCGGGGCTGCCTCTGTAGGGTGGGCCATCTGGGAGGGGCTGGACTCTGTGCCCGGGACACTCAGTCCCTGCCTGGGCTTGGGGAAATGTTCTATGTCCACGATTGCCTGGGGTGTGCTCTGGCCTCACCCTTCGCCCCCACCCAGCATGCAGCTGCCTCCGGCCTTGTCTGTGGCTGTCTGTCTGGCAGGCTGTCCGAGGGTGACACCTCTGTGCTCAGAGAAAGACGCCCTCACAGATGGGCCGTTGCTGGGCTTTGTCATTGTCCCTCCTTGAAGCAGGGAGCACCGCTGGCTTTACCACCTCAGGACACTCCGAGCCCCGGCAGTGCTGGGCCCATGTGGGGGCGCAGGGACACGGTGGCTGGCCTCATGGGTGGGCACAGGCACACGGACAGCCTGGGGGCCCACGCGGCAAGCACCAACCTTGGCCCCAGTCAGCGCTTTTGGGCAGTGCTCGGGCCGGTGCCCCGGCCAGCCCAGAACAGGGCTGTGTTTGGAAACAACCATAGAGCTCACAGTGCCCTTCCTGTCCAGCAGCTGCAGGGGACATGCCTCGGACAGAACCCAGAGGGGCCTCAACCCAGGTCAGCCAAGCCTCAGCCACACGCAGGAGGCACTCCTGCCGTGAGCAATCCCTCCGCCAGGCGTGTGGTCGGCTCTGTGGTGGAGACAGTGGTCCTCAGGGACACGGAGTCAGTGAACTAGCAGAGACTCAAGGCAGATCCCAGCGTGATTATGGCAAGACAGGCCCGGAGGCTGCGAGGCAGGGACAGAGGCCTCCACATTCCTTACATCCTCCGCCCTCTCCCCGAGAGGTGACCCGAACATGAACTGTCTTCAGAGGACACGTCAGAGCCGCCATGTCCTGTGCACAGCAGGCTGAACTGCACTGTCCCCATTCTGTCTGTTGGGCGAGGATGAGAGAGGCTGGCGGAGGGTAGGGTGACAGCCGAGGGCAGAGTGATGGCCGAGGCACGTGGCCTCCCATAGGAAGTACGACGCCCTCCATGGGACTTTCAAGGTCTCTTCCCCTCTCCGGGAGGATCTGGGTCAGGGGTGGCAAATTTTTCTGGTGCCCACGGTGTCAGCAGATGACGTGAAGTGGAGAGGCCAGCTGGGCACATGTGCTGGTTTTGGTGGGGTGGTCCAGACTGGGGGTACGTCCTGAGAGGTTCCCTGGGGCAGAAGTGAGGCTCTCACCCCTTGCCTAGTCCGTGTTTATCCATTCAAAGGGCTGCCACGAAGGCTGCCATTGGAGGTCCCGGGATGCTGGGGTGACTCGAGGACCCTACCCTCTGGTGCCTGCTCTGTGGAGTGGCTAAGACCAAACCCCAGAACACACCAGAACTCAGCGAAGAACCCAATAAAGAAAGTAGCTGGGGGCGGTGCTTCTGCCAGGAGCAGAGGAGGCTCGGGGCTACGGGGCGTTACGACTGTGCTCCACGACCTAAACTAGCAGCCGACACTCTAGAACTCTAAGGAACCATGGAGAAGCTTCAAGACATTGCGTTTCGCAACGATTTCTTGGATATGACACCAAAAGCACAGGAAACAAAAGAAAACATAGATAAATTGAATTTCACCAAAATGAAAAACTTCCGTACGTCAGAGAACACTACCAAGAAAGTGAAAAGACAACCCACAGAATGGGAGAAAATATTCACAAATCACATATCTGATATAGGATGAATATACAGAATATATGCAAAATTCCTACAACTCAACAAAAACAAACAAACAACCCAGTTAAAAAATGGGCAGAGGACTTGAGTGGACATTTCTCCAAAGAAGACGTACAGTCCATAAACCCACGAAAAGATGCTCGGCCTCACTAATCATTAGGGAAATGCAGATCAAAACACTGTAATGAGACATTGCTTCGTACCCATGAGGACGTACCAGGGTCTGAACCCGTGCTCGCTCCCAACAAGGACGGCTGCTGAAATGAAAACAGAAAATACGTGTTGGTGAGGACGTGGAGAAATAGAAGCCTCGTGCGCTGTTGGTGGGACTGCAAGATGGTGCAGCCCCTGTGGGAAACGGTGTGGCAGCTCCCAAAAATTAAACACAGAATTGTGATACGATCCAGCAATTCCACTCCTGGAATACCCAAAAGAATTGAAAGCAGAGGCTGAAAGAGATGTTTGCACACCTGTGATCACAGCAGCCGACAGGTGCCAGCTGCCAGTGCCCATCGCAGGTGAGTGGACGAGCAGAGCATGGCACCGCGTGCCCACCACGGCTACGCAGCCTGAGGAAGCAGCGACTCCTGACACGTGCTACAGCACAGTGGACCCTGCGGACATTATGCTAGATGGATAAGCCAGTCACAGAAAGACAAACGCTGTGTGATTCCACTCACGTGAGGTCCCTGGAACAGTCACATTCATACAGAGAGTGGAAGGGTGGCTGCCAGGGACTAGGCGAGGGGAGGTGTGTTTAGTGGGGACAGAGTCTGTGTTTGACAAGATGAAAAGGGTCATGGAGATGGATGGGGTGATGGCTGCACAATGGTGTGAATATTCTTAATGCCATTCAACTACACACTTAAAAACTGTCAAAATGGTAAATTTTGTGCTATGTTTATTTGCCACAATAATAATATTAAAAAACCTAAAAAAAAAAAAAAA